CTGTGCCCAAGGTATGTATAAATTTTTTTTTTTTACGTTTTTGTTATTTAGTTCTTTAGGAAAACAGTATCTACAACAGAAAATATATCCAAAGATGCCATTTTAAATAGTTAAGAAATCAGTGTTTTTTAAACTAATGAAGACAGCAGAAGTCAATGATTCAATTAAATTATTTAGTCTGACATGTTTTCTGCTCCAATATATTTTAAGTTTACTAAAATAAAATAAATTCTGTTCAAAGGGCATTTTTTTCCCAGACATTTAAAAAGAATATGTTTTAGAACAGTAAACACAATACTTTGAAATCTTGATATTTTTTATCCAAGGTTATCATACTATCAGAATCTTAAACCAGCTGATGTCTAGTGACATGTGGGTAAGTATTTTTTCAAGAATTTGATCCCAGTCAAGGATGAAACTTGCAACTAATATAACAATATACAAACAAATACAAACTGACACAGTTATGCTCCTAGTAAACAAAGCTGTTATGTTCTCATTGTTATAAAACCCCATACTGACATTACTCACTCAGTATCCCCAGATATCTTTTTTCCTTTTTTTCCTCAGTGTTTTACTTCAGAATTCACCGCTGACTAGGAAAATGTGAGTCTTAAAACATTGAGGTGCATGGTTTGTTTTAGTTTTGTGTCTGTGTGGACTTGGCTGTGCAAATTAGTCTCCTGATCAAAAGTTCCCTGTGTTTATGGCCCGCTGGCAGGCCTTCTGCTCTGGGCTATTCAGCCAAAGCGGACCATACCGCTGTCTAAACAAAGGTTGACTCGGTTGTTTAAACGTTCTACGTTTTCAACACACTCAGTGGTTTGAGATCTTGTGGTACTGCTAGACACGAATGCATCATCGCCAATGGTTCGTCTTGTGTGTTGAACTAGCTTTGCATCATTTCCTTTTCTCTAGCTTGGCTTTGCTCTATTAATTGTGTGGTGTGTGGAGGTGAGTGGGCACAAAGTAAGTGCACCTTAATGGACAATGACCACCTCACGCCAGCTCTCAAAGTATGTGGCCGTTAACCAAGCTTAGATTTACAGCACATCATCTCAACTATTTGGCTTTCAGAACAGCTTCACACAGCAATTCTTAACTTCCACACCAGAGACAAAAAATTGCAAACACTTGGTCAAATGGGTTTGTTTAAAAAGTTATTACTCTTACTATAAGCTACTAACACCAATTCTCAAAATTTGAGACCGAAAATGGGGTTCATTAATTGTCTGAAATGACATAGATACACATATATATTTTTTTAATGTTTTCACTCACCAAAAAAATGCATTCTGTATTCATATACTCTAAAAATGCTGGGTTCTAACCCAAAGTTGAACAAACATGGAAAAACTCAACCATTGGGTATAAAAGGGGTCATGTAAATTAAATAAAAAAAAAAAATCAACCCAATGTTGGATTTGTTTATATTTGGTACAGTGTTGGGTTGCAACAACCACATTTTTATTTTTAGAGTGTAAACACATGATGGCTGCAGCACGCTCCAATAAAATTAAGACAGAGACATGTTTAACATGGGATTATATCAACTTTCCTTTTCTTTGCATAGTAGTTTGGGAATTGGTGATACTGCACTCTAAAAATGCTAGGTTATTTCGACATAATTTTGGGTAAAATAACTGCTGGGTTCATTTAAATACATTTATAGAATCTAATATAGACCTTTGTTTGGGTTTGCATATATCTTACCCAATTCGGGTTGAAATAATCCAGCATTTTTAGTGCGCAGTATCACCAATTTCCAAACTATTAAATCTTGCAAAGAAAAGGAAAGTTGATATAATCCAATGTAGAGTGTAATTATTTATGTAGGCAAATTTTTGCTCAATCTGACATAATACAAGACCTTAGCTACTCAACTGTCCGTGTTTGTCATTGTCTGATTCTCAATTCCATAATGGGCACTGCAGCCTGATCTCATGAGCAAACGCAACTATTTTACTTATTGTCAGAAAAGTGGCTGATTTTTAACAGCAGGTGTGTCCCCAAACCACAAATAAGAAGTTGACATGGTGGCGCAGTGGGTAGCATGTTAGCTTCACAGCAAGAAGATTGCTGGTTTGAGCCTTGGCTGGGTCAGTTGGCATTTTTGTTTTTATGTTCTCCCTGTCTTCACGTGGGTTTCCTTCGGATGCTCCGGTTTCCCCCACAAGTCCAAAGACATGTGGTACAGTGAATTGGGTATACAAAAATTTACCGTAGTGTATGAGTATGTGAATGAGTATGTGTGTTTTCCAGTGATGGGTTGTGGCTGGAAGGGCATCCGCTGCGTAAAAACATATGCTGGATAAGTTGGCGGTTCATTCCGCTGTGGCAACCACAGATTAATAAAGGAACTAAGTCGAAAAGAAAATGAATAAATGAATGAAAGATGCACAAATAAGACACTAAATTAGACACTAAATCAAAAAGTTACAAATTTTTGTTGGATTGCATTGAATGGTTTATAATATTTCAATAGGAGACAGATCTTAACTTCAGGGAGGGCAGTCAAACACATTCACTCTGTGCCTACAAAACCATGCTGGCTTTCTCATATAGTTCCAAAGATTCAAGTTGCGTTTCTTGATGCGGTGGCAGACTCTGTTAAGCAACAATGGTTTTCTGAAGTACTCCTGAGCCCATGTGACTTTATTTAACTTGACAGCATGACACTTTTTTTATTGCAAGGTCATCTGAGAGCTCAAAGGTCAAGCACATTCAGCTGTGGTTTCTTTCTTGTTCTACACAGACTCAGATTTCTCTGGATTTCCTGAATCTTTTTACAATATTGGTAAAACACCCAAGTTTTTTGTGATTTTGCATTGAGAAATGTTTAATCGTTTGACAATTCTCTCATGACTTGGGTCACATTTTATTTTGCTTTGCTTGCAAAGACTGAGGGTCCTTTCATAAGTTTTTTTCACATGACGTCATTGATTACGTGCAAAATTCAGATGTAGGGTAGGAAGTGATTTTTCTGCATAGGAATCAGCACATCAAAATGTTTCTGTTTTAAGTTGTTTATAATTGTTTAAAATGAAAAATGCTGAACAACTTTCATAGACTTCCAAAAGGTTTTGCTCATAAAGGGAGAAAGTAAAAAAAAACTGGCTGAAAAATGGAAAGCAGTATGTAAGAAACATTTATTCAATATATCCATGTTTACAAACTGTTTTTGAACACGATAATTAGTTTGACAGCACCAATAAAGATTATATGTGTATAAAGATGTTCATGTTTTATATAAAAATCATATACAAACCCCACCACACATGCAAAATCCAGGAGAATATAAATAATTGACTCTACCATGTAATCGCTGCAATGAAATCTCCATCTTTGTTTCAAAGTCTTTACTGGCATTTCAGCAGAATAAACATCTTTAACGTGAACATTGAGATGCACAGCACCAGTAAATGTTGGTTGATGGTGAGTTCACCAACAGAATAATAAAAAAATGCAACCCTTGCGACAAAACTAGACAACTATTATTTTTGTGGAACATTTTTTCCCCTCTTACAAAAATAAATAAATAAATAATAACAATGTGGAGACTATGCATCCACACTTTTTTTGTATGCTTTCATCTGTTCTTCCGTGATGTCAGGAAAATATCTGCATTGGAAAAACTATAATGTGTACAGCTCTTTGTTAAAGAATGCAACAGTATACTGTAGCATAGTAAGCTGATAAACTGTAATAAATACTGTATCGTTAGTGCAAACTATGGTGTATTGTGATGTTGAATAATTGTAGCATAGAAAATGAAAGCCTGTTGAATAATTTGTTGATTACTACAGTAGTGTCGTACCACAGCAACAATATAATTACTACACAGTTTTATTCAAGTGATTATCTATAGTATGCTTCCAAACACTGTAGAGTTTATAATAGTATTTTTTCATGTAATGTAATAGCTTATAAAGTGTCCACCGCCTCGACGACAGACAAATATATTTTAGCTCAGAAGAAAACTCGGCCCTCTTCATGATATAAGCAGGGTTCATACGGTCATGAAAAACCTGGAAAAGTTCTGGAGTTTTGACATGGCGTTTTCTAGGCCTGGAAAGGTTTGGAAAAACAGAAAAACCCACAAAGTTTTGGAAAAGTGGAAATTAGTTAAACAAGTATCTGTATACTTGAATGAGGGCTGAGCAATATTGGAAAAATCTGACATTACCATATTTGGTATTTCTGTAATTGTGTTGTGAATACAATTTTACCAGATGATTAAACAGGTTTATTTGGATTGATTGGAGGATTTTATAGATGAGTGAATCTTGAATAATATATAACAAATAAATTACAAGCATAGATAAATAAATATAGTAAAGATAAAGGTGAATTATAGTTTTTATTTATATTTTTCAGGTATTCAGGTACTGGTATTGAATCATTGTACATTATTTAATTTATATCAAAGTTACAATAAATTTCTTGTAGCTGGATGTTTTAAAATTTGAAATATTGAAATGTTCACACAGTCACAGGCCTTAAAGCAGGGGTGTCCAAACTCTGTCCTGGAGGCCGGTGTCCTGCAGATTTTAGCTCCAACTTGCTTCAACACACCTGCAAGTATGTGTCTAGAATGCCAAGTAAGAGCTTGATTAGCCAGTCCAGGTGTGTCTGATTGGGGTTGGAAGTAAACTTTGTAGGACGCCGGCCCTCCAGGACCGAATCTGGACATCCCTGCCTTAAAGGAACAGTTTACTCAAAGATTAAAATGTACCGACTATTTACTCACACTTGTTTTCTTTTTGTGTTCATTTAAAATCAATAGTCTCAAACTCAATTCCTGGAGGGCCGCAGCTCTACATATTATAACTTCAACCACCGCCAAAGTAATTCTTGGGTGAACTATCTCTTTAAAAATGCATCGAGATGATAAACTTTTACTCCATTATGATTAAACTCTATATTAAACTATAATCCAAACATTGCATATCCTGTGATGTGACTATTGCGGATGCACACATTGTGATATCGATGCTAAAATAATATATTGTGCAGTTCTATCTTGATTATAGGTTAGTTGTCTTTACTTAATCTCTTCTGTCTTTGGCCAAAAACTTGCTCTCACATGTTTAATGCTGTGTAAGCATTATCAAAGACAATTTTACATAGATATAAAAACAAATTTAAACAAAATAGGTTGTTGCGCGTTCTATGAATGCTGTAACACATTTGAACCTCATTACTTTTCTTATTATTTACCTTGTAGACATTACATGAAACATGACGTCATGAAAATGTACTTGAAAGTTCTGGAAAATTTTTGGAATTTTAGTTGTAAAAATGCATATGAACCCTGTACAAGGATCATGCCCAACATATGTGCTTATTTTCTATTTATATTTCCTTTAAAATATGGTATAAATCACAAAAATACGAACTTTCATCTATGTCTCCCTTTCGATTTTTTTATACCTGCCCTCTATCTGAATTTCGTACTTCATCAGAATCACGTGATTGTAAACAACTTATACCAAAACATGAAATCTCATATATTATCAGTTCACCTCTTTATTAGGGACTTTTAGGGTTTCAAAGCCATGTAATTTAGATGTCCTATAACCTTATATTTTTTTAAAAATTATTTTTAAGGATTTTTCACCCCTCACAGTGTAGATTTTACAGACAGGAAAGTGTGGGGAGCAGAGATTTGGGAAGGATCGGCAAACAACCTTAAGCCAGGAATCAAACTTGGGTCTCCATGAGGACCTCGGTGCTATGTGTTAACACAATAACCACTAGGCTATTAGCGCTGACTGTTCTATTACCTTTTCACTTTCATTTGACCTCTGTCCTGACTTTTTTGGAAAGTGTTACAGCCATAAAATCTTTGTATATTTACAGTTTATAAGTTTGTCAGTAAAAACAGTGGTAATCTTTTCTTTATCCTTTTGTGTATTGAAAAAAGTTCAAGAGAATGAACAAATGTCAAACGTGTGAATTCATTGCATTTGACTAAATGTCCCAACTAGGGTTTTGGTTAGCACTCAAACATGACACCAAAGTCCACCTCTGACCCTGACAAGCCTGCTCAAAGGTTTGAGAGGTCAACTGGTCAAGTGGCATTTTATCCCCATTCCAGTGAGCCATATCTAACATGCTTTTCTTCTCCCTGTGTCTCACTTTCTTTAACGGCAGGCTGTCAGGCTTCTGGAGTCATTAGAAACGGACACCTGCTTGCTGAATGGGGGTCGAGCAATGCCACAAGAACTTGTGCGACGACTCCAATCTCATTAAAGGTGGAATCAGTCTCTTCATTGTTGTTTTTCCCCCTCAAGCGCAGGACAACAGATAGATAGTTAGGAGCAACCATGTGTGTTCTATGATTAGATTTGTGAGGGATAATTAATCACAAATGGTGCAGGGGAGAAAAATACACACACTCGCGCACATACACACTCAAACAGCAGCAGAAGCAGCAGCATCATTTGAATATGTTAGTGCTTTAATAAGCTAACTGATTGATCCCAGGTGAACACTTTGTTGTGGAGATTGCAATGCCCTTTAGGTTTGAATAAACAGAGCCCGCAGCCCACACTGAGCCCTGTTTGCAGATAACAGCCTGTTTGAATGAGGCGTGTTGAATTCTGGGAAGGTGTGTCACTTGAACGCTCTGTAAGTATGTCACATATGGACTTGTTCCTTTTTTTCTTAGCAGTGGTGTGAGGCCCTGGAGAGAGTGTCATTTTTAGAACATACTGTATATACAGTCGGATACCTTCGCTGAGCATTAATGAACAGTTATAGGTTCACATATTTAAAGACCAATGAGAAATTACTTCTATTAAGTTGTCACTAATTCCGATAAATTAAATCTCAGTCACATAAGGCTTTTATTTACTTTTATTTTACCATTATTTAAATAAGAAGTCTCATTGAGATTTAAAATCTCTTTAATAGAGAGACCTGCCAAGTTAACAGCCATACAGTAAAATAATAATGATAAAAAATACATAAACACCACATAACACCAACTTTTCAATAGTCCTCTCAACAAAAACAATCACATGCTTCCAATACTGCTTTCTTCAAAATGCCTTTAAATTCACCGAAAGACACAACTTTATTTGGTTTTAAGTCTTTTTGCAAATTATTCTTTGCCCAAGGTGCACAATAAGGAAATGCAGTTTTTCCCAGCTCTGTACAAACTCAAGGTATATTAAAAAGCAAACACTTGAAAGAGCATAGCTGGTAATTCCCTGAGTTGAGACAAAGAAGAGCTTTGGAGTGAAATCTGTTTGCATAAACTGAATGCAAGTACTTTTCAGATGATTTTGGAAAAAAAGCTATTGATTTTATGGTGCTATTATAGTCATACAGAAGACCAGTGATGTAAAATAGCAAATTAAAAACACTCAAATTACTGTAATTGAGGAGTTTTTTTTTTTCAGAAATTGTAATTCACTAAGTAGTTTTAAAAATTGTGTAATTTTACTTTCCCTTGAGTTCATTTTTAGCGCAGTATCTGTACTTTTAATCCACTACTTTATTATTTCCCTTCTATGGGGATAAGAAAAAATCAGTCCTGTGATTACTGTCCAATCAAATCACACATACAAAGTAAATGGCCTCATACTGATTCTCCCGATTTATAAATACAGCAAACTGTTTGGAAGCATTAAAAGGGCATTAAAAGCGTCATTTAAAGTGTCCGAGAAGATTTCCGAAATCTTTACACGCAATGACCCAGAGTATGTTTGGATGCATGACACTGATGAGAAGATGACAGATGTGTACTGTATAATGACTGTAATGGCCTTAAATAATAATTAAATGCACTACAGAATGTTACATTCACACACACATCCACATATTACATGTAAACGCATCAGCTTTTCAAAGCATAATACTCACTACTCACTACTCTTAAGTACTTTTATGAGGGCTACTTTTTAATTCTTTAAGTAAAATTTGCAACAGATACTTTTACTCTACTTGCACTACATTTTTTGGGCAAGTAATGGTGCTTTTACTTAAGTATGTTTTTCCAGTACTCCTTCTACCACTGCAGAAGACAATAAGTACTTTTGGGCTACATTCTTTTAATTATTCAGGTTCAAAATATGCCCAGCTTGAAATTATGTATTTATTTTGCATATAAATAATAATTGAACTTAATGACACCATATGACCTTTCCTGTGTTTTGTTATTTTTACAAGAGTATCTGGATGCAGCCTTTATGATGCAAGCTTAGATTGCGTCATTCAGGGATGCAATGTCAGACACAATACACTAAATGGAGCTAATGATGTGACTGTGAGGGGTAGGGTTAGGGGTGGGGTTAGGTGAGCGCATTAAAAAGCATTGGATGCAGATTCAGATTGCATCTGCACCGAGGCTGCAGCCAGACCCCTCTCGATTTTTGGTGTTTTCAATTTATTTACTCATTCAATTGTAGGGTTTTAATCTCTGCTCTGACAACGTTTAATGTAAAAAAGTTTAACAAAGAGATTTTAATGACCCCCCATCCCCCCAAAATACCTGCAAGTATTTTTTTTACAGATTTCTTTTGGTTAACACTTTATTTTGATGGTTTAATTGAGTATTAGTAGACTGTCTGCTTAATATCTATTGACATGCTCCTTCAGCAGACATTTAGCTAACTATAAGTAACTTTGCAAGTACGTCAACTTACACTACCCCTAACCCCAACCCCAAACAGTCTACTTATAATCTAATGAGAATTAGTTGGCATGTAAATGCCATGTAACTTAAATTCAACAAACAGACCATCAAAATAAAGTGTGACCTTCTTTTGTTCTTTTTATTAATATTTTCTTTATTAAACTAATAAAACTATATAAAAAAGTCCCTTTCTCAACGATGAAGGTCCCACAATGCAATTAGAATGAGTAAATAAATGGAAAACACTTGTGAATCACAAAATGCAGGAAACTGTAAATTAACAAATAAATTAGTTTTACAGTGTATGGTAGTCATTATTGTTTCCTCAAGACCAGGGTTGCCCAAACTTTTTTGAATGAAGCGACATAAACCAAATAACAGTAAGAGCTGTGGGCTAAAGGTTATACATTAATTCTTTTTTTTTTGGCTTAGTCCCTTTATTAATCTGGGGTCGCCACAGTGGATAGAAGAACAGCCAACCTATCCAGCATTTGTTTTACACAGCGAATGCCCTTCCAGCTGCAACCCATCACTGGGAAACACCCATTGACACTCATTCACACACATACACTACGAACAATAGCTTACCCAGTTCACCTATAGAGCATGTCTTTGGACTTGTGGCGGAAACAAGTGCACTCAGAGGAACCCACACCAACATGGAAAGAACATGCAAACTCCACACAGAAATGCCAACTGACCCATCCAAGGCTTTCTGACCCATCCAAGGCTTTTTTGAAGAGTTCATCAGCCTGATAGTCTGAGGGAAGAAACTTTCCTTCAGTCGGCTGGTGCGTGACCGGATGCTGCAGAACCGTCTGCCTGACGGTAGCAGAGAGAAAAGTCTATGGCTTGGGTGGCTGGAGTCGCTGATAATCCTCTTGTCTTTCCTCATGCACCGCTGGTGTAAATGTCCTGGAGGGAGGGAAGCTCACCTCCTATACGTGTCCAGCAGTTCGCACAATTCAATTCTATGTAGGCCTTTGCGATTGGTTAGACATAGTAGTATGTACAATTAAGAAAAAATCTGATTAATTTAAAACATTTGATTAAAACATTTAATTTAATTGAAACTTGGTATTAAAACAAACAAACAAACAAACAAACAAACAAACAAAATGTTACATTCATTCATGTTTTTCTGCTTAGTCTCCTTTATTAATCAGGGGTCACCACATAGGAAAAAAACGCCAACTTATCCAGCATATGTTTTACGCCAGATGTCGTTCCAGCTGCAACCCATCACCGGGAAACACCCATACACACTCATTCCTCACAGCCAATTTAGTTTAACCAATTCACCTATGCCACATGCTTTTGGACTGGTGAAGGAAATCAGAGCACCTGAAGGAAACACAAGCAAACACGGGGAGAACGTGCAAACTCCACAGAGAAACGCCAACTGACCCAGCCAAGGCTCGAACCAGCGACCTTATTTCTTTAAGATGATTGTGCTGCCCACTGCGCCACCATGCTGCCTAATATTGAATTAGAAATTACAGTCTTTTAACCATCCCCATCATTCTCCTCTTCTCAGAAGGAATGGTGAGCCAAATCAAAGGATCACCATTGGCCAACTTGGGCCCGCGGACCCTACACTGTAAAAACTGCTGGGTTCCACACAATTCCTTCATGCTGTCCTAACACAAATTAAATAAGTTAACTTGATTGTTTTAAAAAAATATTTGGGTTGAATATAAAACAATTAAGTTGTCCCAAAACAATTTTAAGCATTGTGTTGTTTCAGCTCATTTTTTTAGTTTGAACTAGCAGCAATTATCATTTTTTTATTGCAGTTTGGGCATCTCTGCTCAAGACACACATTATATAAGGAAAACACATCAAATAAGCTAAAACATATAAATGTTGTAGATTCCATGTAGTCCTGGTCATCTGTTGACCAAAGTAATAAAAATGGACTTTGCAATATCACACACAAACTTCTCTCAAGCCTTGAACCCTCGACATCTGATGTTGGAGTTTAGTTTTTGGTCACTTATCTGAGTCCCCTGCCCTTGCATGGTCAACAGAGTAAGTGTGTCATTACCATAAATCTATCAGTGTCTTCCTGTGTGTGTGTGTGTGTGTGTGTGTCCCTCTCTTGTCCTCTTTTAACACCCTGGGGCATATTGGACTAATGGCTGGCCTTGTTCTCACCCTGGCTGTTTGCTGAGCTTGGAAGGCTAAAGTCTATAGATAGACAAGAGACTTGGAATGCAAGGTGTGGACAACCGAGATAAAGTTAAGACTGTGTAGACTGAAGGACAGGGTGTGTGTGTGTGTGTTTGTGTGTCTGGATGGATGGTCTGGAGTGTAAAGGTCAAAGAGTCAAGTTCACTCATCGGAGAAAACATTTATGATTGGTAAAAGTGTGCGCTGTAGTTTTATATTAGTACTAACCACCAATATTCTGTTTTCCAGGATCGGAGTGCTTGCCTGTGATGACGGTCTCTCACAGCCACATGTACAACAGCCTTGGACTCTCTTCTCCTCTCCTCGGGGCATCTGGTGTGGACCTTAATCCCAGCGTAGCCTGATGGTTGAGTGTGCCCAGGCAGACTGGAGCTAATCTGCTGGAGAGAGAGAGAAAAAAAGAGCCTGTCCGTGCTTGCTGTTAACACGTCTCGTTCCTGCTCAACTCTGGGAGCTGTGCAGGGTGACCTGGGTTAATTGCAGCTGCAGAGATGAACAGCCTGGGTCACCTTCGCTACGGAAGAGACGGGGGAAAAATGAGGTAATCATAGAGGACGGCTGAAGTTGAACCACAGAGATTTTTTCAGGACAGTTCCTAATAGCTGGTGGAGGGTTTTAGAGGGGAGGAGAGGACGGGACAGGTGTGAAAGGGAGGCATTGCTTACAACTGGAATTAACTGGTTGCAGTTGATCCGATTAAAAGTGGTCAGCGCTAAATACAGCCATCCAAAATCACATGTGCTTCTTTTGCGCTTAACAGTTTTAGAAAAAGTTTTAGCTATTGGACCTTGTATAGGGAGGAACAGTGGCTCAGTAGTTAGCACTGCCGCAACACAGCAAGATGGTTGCTGGTTCAAATCCCAGCTCAGCCAGTTTTCATTTCTGTGTGGAGCTTACATGCTCTCCTTATATTGGTGCAGGTTTTCTCCAGGTGCTCTGGTTTCCTCCACAGTCCAAAGACACGTGCTGAATAGAATAAACTAAATTGGCAGTAGTGTATGAGTGTATGTGTGAATGCGAGAGTATCTGTGTTTCCCAGTACTGAGTTGCTGCTGGAAGGGCATCCGCTGCGTAAAACATATGCTGGAATAGTTGACTAAGCTGAAGGAAATTTATTCATTTGTATACAACCTTGATGTCAAAACATAATGTGTGCATTGGTGTCAAAATCAGGTCAGAAATCATAGATGATCATTAGATGTCAGTTTAATAGCATTTCGACTGCAGGTAGTTTACATGCACTGCAGGCATACAATGTCCAGTGTAAATTTGCCATTTGGAATTGAATGTTTCATTCGTTCATACATTTTCTTTTCTGCTTAGTCCCTTCTGAGGTCTAATCTGGGGTCACTGCTGCGAAATGAACTGCCAACTTATCCAGCATTTTTTTTTGCAGGAGATGCCCTTCCAACTGCAACCCATAACTGGGAAACACCCATACACGCTCATTTACACACATACACTACAAACAGTTTAGCTTACCCAATTTAACACTAGCGTGCATGTCTGTTGACTTGTGGGTGAAACCGGAGCACCCGGAGGAAACCCACACGAACACGGGGAGAACATGCAAACAACACACACAAACGCCAACTGACCCACTTGAGGCTCAAATCAATGACCTTCTTGCTGTGAAGCGACAGCGCTACCCACTGCACCACCGGGCCTCTAACTGCATGTTTCAGATGAAGCACATGCTAGTATACTGTTATAATATCCTTCACAAACAAACATGAAATTTGTATGCAAATATTCCAATGGAACGTTGCATCACACATGCAAATATATTTTGAAATACAGCAATCTGATTGGTTGTTGTGCTTGTTGGTGTCAATTTGCATGTTTAATTTAAAAAAAAAAAAGCTTTGGTCAAGTTAGCCTGCCATATTATCCCTGGAAATGTATTCACCATAAATACTATTCTTTACAAAACATCAACAAAAAACTCACCATTTTTATTACACCGTCACTTCACCTTAATCACGCTTGGCAACACAGCGTGGCGCCTCTCTGGCTTCTGAACACTGTAACAGGTAAAAATGTCTTAAAAATTATATCCTGCATATTAATGAAGTTGAACCTCACAATAGAGCACGCTGATTGGTTCGAAACAAGTCTTTCTCATTAATTAATGCTGAAAACTCAAAGATGTCACGTTGTACCGGTCAGTACTGACATGCAGTCTACATGCTGGAATTCACACAAATATCGCATGGCAGTAACGTAGCTTCTAAATTTCTTTTCAAATCAGAAAAACGAATTTGCTAGAAATAATGCAAAACAACAAAACAAATTTTCACTTATTTTTTTGTGAAATATATGTGTCCTAATAGTGTTTTTTTGCAACGTGGAACACATAAAGTTGAAGTCGAAATTAGCCCCCCTTTGATTTTTTTTTCTATTGTAAATATTTCCTAAATGATATTTAACAGAGCATATTAAATATTTTTTCTTCTGGAGAAAGCCCTATTTGTTTAATTTAGGCTAGAATAAAAGCAGTTTTTATGAACCATTTTAAGGGAAAAATTATTAGCCCCTTTAAGCTAAACAATAACTTGCCTAATTACCCTAACCTGCCTAGTTAAACTAAATAACCTAGTTAAGCCTTTAAATGTCACTTTATATTTAGTCAAATATTGTTTACTATCACCATGACAAAGATAAAATAAATCAGTTATTAGAAATGAGTTATTAAAACTATTATGTTTAGAAATGTGTTAAAAAAAACTTCTCTCCATTAAACAGAAATTGAGGAGAAAAAAGGGTGAAGGGGTGGGGGGATAATATTTCTGCTGTACTTCAACTGTATATGTCAACATCTACAAATGTGTTTTGGTTTTTTGTGACCCTTTAAAGCAAACACAATAGGTTTGTAAATGTTGAACTGCCTTGTTTGATCATTTGCGGTTGCCAGAAAAGAACAGTGTGCCACTTTGTTTTGTCTAGTGGCCCTACTGTTTTGTGTTAAAGTGACCCCAGTGCACTCTGTCTACCGCTTAAGACTCTTTTGACACTCTCTCACGTTTGTGTCCCCAGAGTCCTGCTCATACACACACACACAAGCGTGAACAAGCACACAGAGAAATGCGTCAGGAACACAGGGAACATTTTTCATGTGCTATAAGCGACTCCAAAAGGCCATTCCATCTTCATTTTACAACTTCATGGTCTCTCCGGTATGTTCTCCATGCCTTTTTCCCTGCGTCTAAGCACAGCTCTCTCTCCCTTTCACAGTCTTAAGGCGGCGGAGGTGAGAGGTCAGAATGGCAAAGCTGCAGATTAAGTTTCAGATGACTGAGCACCTTTGTTGGGGCGGCCCACTGGAAAGGAAGTGTCCGAGAGGAGGATGGTGTGCTGAGATTGGCCACCGTTGCAGCGAGCCTCTCGGAGCATGTTTGCCCGTCTGAGGGGGGTGTTTTGAACTCTGCGTGCTACACAATCTGGTTGATCTGCAGTGTCTCAGACCCTTTCATGAACTACAATATGTCTGGCCTGACACATGCTGCTGAATGCAAGGGGAGAGCCAGTGGAGGCTTGAGAGTGAAGGCATGTTCAGTTCAGAAATGAATTGAATTCAGTTAATCAGCTCTCAACAGTGTTTAGGTAGTTTAATAATGTAGAATACCTTGATATGCTATACGTTTTTTTAAAGTATGACATTCTAAGTAATTCATAAATTAAGGCAAATTATGTTTATGTTTATTATTTGTATTTTATTTAAAACTATTTTATTTAGTTTGTTTTATTATCACTTATTTTTGTATTATGTGGTTAAATGCAGAAATATGGTCAAAATATTATTGTAGTTAACTTTTTCAATATTATTTAGTAGTTAAAGGTTAAGGAGGTAAAACATTCTGACATTAAATATTCAGCCCCATAAAATTCAAAACATTGCAGTCAGTATATTTTTTTAAGTACATTTATATAATTTAATCAATTGCAGGAATGTTTAGATTAATATATATAAAAAAAAAAAAACAAGTAAATATGTTACGATTACCAGCAATCCACTCCTGACAGTGAACTGGATATGTCCTATTTTGGAACTACAGGGAATGTCACACACCATGCTGATCACGGCTGATAAGACACACACAGCTGAGACTTGTGATCACTGATCATTCAGACTATTTGTACACCACACATACACCAGTGACACC